TTAGAGGCTGGCATGAGCAATTTAATGAGACCCTGACTCAAAAAAATAAAGCTGGGTGCAGTGACGCAAGCCTGCCCCAGCTACTCAGGAGGCTGAGCCAAGAGGATTATAAGTTTGAGGGCAGCCTTGGCAGCTTAGTGAGACCCTGTCTCAAAATTAGAAAGTGTCCAGGCAGGTGTTGTATGCATGTAATCCCAGCAATTTGGGAGGCTGAGGTAGGAGGATTGTAAATTCAAAGCCAGTCTCAGTAATTTAGTGAGGCCTAAGCAACTTAATGAGACCCTATCTCAAAAATAAGTAAAAATAACAAAAGGGCTATCGATGTGGTTCAGTAGTTAAATGCCCCTGAGAAGTTATGATGCCCTTATATCTCTAATTTGAGGAAGTGAATTCCAACATCATACTAAAAATTGCATTTTCTTTCTGAGGGTGACAATTCAAAATAGCCCAGTTCTTTATGTGGAGGGCAGTAGTGGCTCTTAGTACTCTTCCTGAATCCTGCTATTTTCCCTTATCCATTTCCATCTTAATGGTTTTTCACACTTTGAAATGTGTAGCCCTGCACTGAGTACCCCAGTACTGCACTAGTTGGGGCTTTGCTCTCCAGTGGATCTGCTAGCTTATTTTTATAGCAGACAACTTTCCACAGATTAATAGTCCAACATTCCTCTATTTCCATTTCCCTGCTCTTTTTCTTTCCCTCATCAGGATCCCATAGATTTTTGAGCTTTGTGTTGACCTTTGGATTTTAGCTGCTATAATTGCTTGTTTTAGAAATTCTGAGTCCTGTTTTCCCACTTTTTTGGTGATGGGGCTCCACTTTATTTTCATATTTGTCCCATTGACTAATGCTTTTTAAAAGATTTCTGAATTAGTGTTACTATTAAGAGTGTTTGTAATTCTATGCCTTCAGGTGCCCAGTGAGAATTAGTATGTCCTCTGTGATTGTGATTTTTCCAGCAGGAGGAGAGATGTTTCATTTTTTATCACCAATTTTCCCTCAGCACTAGGACCCGACTTTGACTTTACTTCTTATTCTATTCATGCAGGTTCAGGTAGATTAAAAGTTCAAGCTCCTTATTAAGTTGTTTCAGTGCCATTTCTTCCTGGGAAATGGCTAATACCTTTTAAATGGTGCCCATTTTCTTTTTCCATTTCTTCTTTTGCATTGAGCCTAAAATGTGTGTTTTTTTTTTAAATGCTGTTTCAATTTTTTTTTTTTTTTTTTGCTGAGTTTTGTATTTTTTCTCCCAAAGCTTTTCTAGTTTTCTTCAGTGTACTAAGGATTGAACCCAGGAGCACTCTACCATGGAGCTACATGCTCAGCCCTATTTTTTATTTTAGACAGGGTCTTGTTAAGCCGGGTGCGGTGTCCCATGCCTGTAATCACAGTGAGTTTGGAGCTGAAGCAGAAAGATAGCAAGTTTGAGGCCAGCCTCAAACTTGGTGAGGCCCTAAARCAACTTATTGAGACCTTGTCTCAAAATAAAAATAGAAAGGGCTTAGTGCTCTTGTATTCAATCTCCAGCACTCCTTCTAAAACAACAACAACAAAGAAAAATACAAACAGGGTCTTACTTAGTTGCCCTCACTGGCCTTGAATTGTGATCCTCCTGTCTCACCTTCCTGAGTAGTTGGGGTTATACAGGTATGAGCCACTATACCTGGCTTCACTGGCCAAATTACTGATAATAATTTACTTTTAATTTACTTTTTCTCTTCAAGGAAAAGGATTCATGAAATCAGTGCTTTAGACATTTTGAAATAATATTTAAAAAATAATCCTTTGTAATTCTTAGAGTTTTGATAATTTTATTCAGATTTTTCTCTACTTCAATTTAAGAAGATGACCCATCTTTATTCTAATAAGGGCCTACCTTATTAATCTGTCTTCCTTTATAAGCTCACCACACTTCTGAGGTTGAATTTGTACTCTAGGTGTCCCAAATTAATGGTGACCATTATTAATGTTTCATAATATGCTGGTAATTCAGCCTTAGATGAGGACAGGCTATAGAGCAGAGAACTTGAAGATAGGGAACATGGTGCTTGCCATCCATCAATTCCAGAACTTAAATGGGTTTGTGAGAGGTTTACCTGTTTATGAAATGAGACTGGCTCTAGAAAGAAATGAACATTAGTACCAACACTCCACCATTGAGAGGGAGTGATCAAGATGCATGGGCTTTGTTCTTTCTAGGTAGAACTCTGTTCCCAAGTCCAGTTGGTTGTGCATGTGCTCTCTTAAACTATTGAAGTGTTAGAATGGGTTCCTGGGATCCTGAACCCTGTGCTGGCATAGCTAGTCCACTGCTAGGTCACCAAGGAATGGACCAGGCAAAGTAGGATTTCATCATTAAATGGGCCTTGGCCTCACACCCCTTTGTGAACTCTGGAGCCCCAGTATGTTGTGCAGGACTATGTGGGAAATTCTTTGTAACTGACACAGTGTACTTTCCTTGAGTCCCTGAGATTCCTGCTTGGCTTTCTAAGAGATATGGGGACCTCTCTTGCCATGGTTGGGATCCATCCCAAGGCCTTTTATTGCCATATCAGCTTTTGGAAAGAAGAGCCCCTTAGAGAAACCATTTCTGTATAGGATTAGAGAGCTTTAACCCCGTGTCATATTTATATATAGAATGCTCTATTTTGTAGCACTTAATTTCAAGTCCTAGGATTTGACCAATGTAGCAGCACTTTTAGAAAATTTATTAGCTGTCTACTTTCTAGAAACTTTTTTTATTGAGTTTTTCTTTCCTTCCTGGTTTCCATAAAACTATTCTTCTAATGCTTACTTTTGTTAAGTATTCTTGTCTTGCCTCTTTCTTTTGCCACTCCCAGCTATAGATTTAAACATTTAAATATTTTAAAGATTTGTACCTCTTTTTCCCCCTCTCTCCCATACTGAGGATTGAGCCCAGGAGCACTTTGCCACTTGTATTGTACATTCCCAGCCCTTTTAATTTTTTAAATTTATTTTTTATTTGTTCTTTTTAGATACACATGTGGCAGTAGAGTGTATTTTGACATACATACATGGAGTATAACTTATTCTGATTCGGATCCTAGTCTTGTGGTTGTACATGATGTGGAGATTCACTAAAGTGTATTCACATACATACGTTGGAAAGTTATTTCTGATTTCTTCTACAGTTTTTCCTATTCCTATCCTTCCTCTCTTCTCTTCATTTCCTTTTGTCTATTTCCCTTCCCCACCTTGTTGTGTTGTGTGTCAGCAAGTCCCCCCTCCCCTGGTTTTTTTTTTTAGGTACCCGGGATTGAACCCCAGGGGCACTCAGCCACTGAGCCACATTCCCAGCCCTGTTTTGTATTTTATTTAGAGACAGGCTCTCACTGAGTTGTTTAGTGCCTTTGTTGTTGCTGAGGCTGGATTTGAACCGAGATCCTCCTGTCTCAGCCTCTGGAGCCACTGGGATTACAGGCATGTACCACTTAGCAGCAAGCCCTTTTAATTTTATTTTGAGACAAGATCTCCACATGTTGTCCAGTCTGACTTTGAACTTGTGGTCCTCTTGCTTCAGTTTCCTGAGGACTACAGGTTTGACTTTCACTTTTAAGTCTTCATAGATGTGATTGATTTTATGTATGGTGTGAGATATAGAGATCAGTGTTCATTTTTCTATAAGCTAACCAATTGTTTAAGCTCCAAATATGCATTTCCATTTGCTTTTGCCTCTAATAACAGTCTTTTATTTTTATTTTTTTTAATACCAGGGATTGGACACAAAGGCTTTATACCATGAGCTCCATCCCTTGCCTGTTTTTATTCTTTATTTTGAAACAGGGATTCCATAAATTGCTGAGACTGGCCTTGAACTTTTGAACTGTTGATCCTCCTGTCTCAGCTTTCTGAGTCACTGCTATTACAAGTCTGTGCCCGCTGTGCCTGGCCTCAGACAGTTTTTATTCTTTATTTTGAGATAGAGTCTCACTAAGTTGCTGAGGCTGGCTTGAACTTGTTATCCTCCTGCTGCAGCCTCCTGAGTCCCTGGATTACTGATGTGTGCCACTGCCCACAACAATATATTTTTTAAAGTTTTATCTTTTCATGTTTGAGTCTTTTTTTTTTTAAATTTTGCACTGGAGATTGAACCCAGGGGCACTTAACCACTGAGACACATCCCTAGCCACCCCCCCACTTTTTTTTTAATATTTATTTTTTAGTTTTAGTTGGATACAATATCTTTATTTTATTTATTTATTTTTATATGATGCTGAGGATTGAACCTAGGGCCTCACATGTGCTAGGCGAGCACTCTACTGCTGAACCACAACCCCAGCCCCAACCATAGCCCTTTTTTTATTTTTTGTTTTGAGACAGGGTCTGGCTAAGTTGCTTAGTGCCTCATCAAATTACTGAGGGTTGATTGAACTTGTGATCCTTCTGCCTCAGCCTTCTGAGTCATGAGATTACAGGCATGTGCCACTGTGCTGGGTTCATATTTAAATCTTTTTTTTTTTTTTTTTTTTTTGGTACCAGGGATAGAATCCACTAAGTCATATCCCCAACCCTTTTTTATATTTTATTTAGAGACAGGGTCTTGCTAACTAAATTGCTAAGTCTTTTTTTTTTTAAACATAAACCAGTAGTGGTCATTTATTATAATATTAAATATTATATACTGTACATAATTGTATATGCTGTACTTTTTCTTTTTTTTTCTAATGTTGCCTTTTGAATTCACAGTCCTCCTGCTTTAGCCTTCTGAGTCACTGGGATTACAGGTGTGGGCCAATGTGCCTGGCTTATGTTTAAGTCTTCATTTGGAATTGATTTGTATGTGTGGTGTCAGATTGGAATTCAGGATAGTTTTCCCCCTATGGCTAATTGTTCTTTTCAGTATTAATTTTATACCTAAGTCATTTATATTTGAAATTCAAATGGAAGAGATAAACTGGCTCTATTTCCTTTATTGGTCATGTGGTATTTCTGTCTTACAGGTTCTTTTTATCATTTTGAAAACACTTCCAGGTGGACTATGAAAGATTATGATGAACTTCTCAAATACTATGAAATATATGAAACTATTGGAACAGGTAATTGTTATTTTTTTTTTTTCTTGGAGGCAGAGGATAGATCAACTATTTGAGAGTATAGTCTTTTGAGGCTTTTTAGTCTAACTTATGCTGTATTAAAATTTTCTACCTAAGAAAAAGTGGAGCAAGGGTAGAGGAAAGTAGTAGAAGGGCTTTATATTGCAAGGACTTTGACTTGTATCCTAAGTAAGTCATTGGCCAAAAAAAAAAAAAAAGGAAAGAAAGAAAAAGAAAAAAAATAAGTCATTGGAGAGTTTTGAGCCAAGGAGTGGTGGGACCTTTGTTTTCAGTGGGTCACTCTGCTTGATGGTGAAAAGATTGTGGGGGAGAGGGAAAGGGCAAAGGTAGAGAGAAGTTAGGAAGCTATTGTAATAATTCAGGTAAGTGACTCTGGCAATGATGGTGATTTAGGTGAGGATGATAGTGATGGTGATGAGGTAGTTATTGAGGTATAACATGGTAAAACATGCGAAGTGCACTGATCTTGATGGGTTGATCAAATATATATATATCTATTTATATTCATTCACTCAGGTAAGACAGACCATTTCTAGTCAGTACCTGCTTTTCCCCCATGTAAACATTAATATTTTTCCTCCACAGTAAACCAGTGGGATTTGTTTATGTTTTGGCTATGGGGTATTATAAAAGAGAGGAAATAAGGATGGTTCCAGGGTTTTGGGCCTGAGAGCACCTGGGAAAATGAAGTTGCTTCTTACTGAAATGGTAAAGAATTTGGAACAGGCTACCAGAAGCTTCTTTTTGGAAGTGTTAATTTGAAGATTGAGAAATCTAAGGAGAAACATTTATTCTGCTTTTGACCCAGTTTTAAAGCGTAATTGCTTATCCTCAGAATTTTAAAACTGAGTGGAAGTTTTATATAATTTGTCTTTGGTCTCAGCAACTTTATATTATGTTCTAGCAATGTTAATTATAAAACAGTTGTAGCTGGATGCAATGGCGCATGCCTGTAATCCCAGTGGCTTGGGAGGCTGAGGCAGGAGGATCACTAGTTCAAAGTCAGCCTTAGCAAAATTGAGGCACTAAGCAACTTAGTGAGACCCTATCTCTACATAAAATACAAAATAGGGCTAGGGATATGGCTCAGTGGTGGAGTGCCCCTGAATTTAATCCTTGGTACAAAAAAAAAAAAAAAAAAAGTGAACAGGTGTTTCTGCTTGAGTCCTTGTTTATCTCTGTCATAAATTTTCTTGTGCATAGGTGGCTTTGCAAAGGTCAAGCTTGCCTGCCATATCCTCACTGGAGAGATGGTAGCTATAAAAATCATGGATAAAAATGCACTAGGGGTAAGTTTAAAATTGTTCTTTTAATATTCTCCTTGTAGAACAGTTTTGTGATTAAAACCTGAATATCCTAATTACTATTCTTAGAATAATATTTTTATGCCTTTAAAAAATGAATAGAGATCTGTGGTTTTAAAGTAGTCTGGGTGGGTGGGAGGGTTACTTTGTCCTTCAGATTTTAATGTAGGGGTTTGAACTCTGTAACATTCATTTTTTTTTGGTGGTTGTTTCATAGTCTTTTTTTTTTTTTTTTGGTGGCACTAGGGATTAAACCCAGATCCTTGTGCATTTGAGGCAAACACTCTACCAACTGAACTATATCCACAGCACTGTTTCATAGTCTTGGAGGAGTTTCTGAATATTAATATCTCCCATTTTTACCCTTTCACAATACTCTCACTAATGTTGATATATTTTGTAGTATAGATAAGTAGATAGATAAGTCTTAGATCCCAGCTTTTTATTCAAAGTGACTTTAGAAGTTATCTAATGAATCCTTTTCTTAATCAGTATTTTTTTCCTCTCTGAGAATGCTTCCAGGTTTGAGTTGTTCATTACTTACTAAAATAGCCCATTCAATTTGTGGTTTTGGCTATAATATATATAAAATTATTATTATTTTTATATTGAAGTAAAACCTGTTTCTATTGATGGTCCTTTTTGTGCCTTCTATGCCTTTCCAGTGTTTGAAGTTGTTAGGAGTCTTCATTTTCTAATTCCCTCTACCATCCTTCATGTGGTTTGTTTCTGGACTTAATTTTTGTTTCTATTCTTCTCCTGAGAGTTAGTGAACTCTAACTAGTCTCTAAGTATATACCTGTGGCTTGCCCGCCCTTCCTTCCTTCCTTCCTTCCTTCCTTCCTTCCTTCCTTCCTTCCTTAATACTATTGGGGATTGAACCAGGGGTGCTCCACCACTGAGCTATATCCCCAGACCTCTTTATTATTTATTTTGAGACAAGGTCTGGCTAAGTTGTGTAGGCTGGCTTCAAACTTGGAATCCTTCTGGTCTTAGCCTCCCAAGATGCTGGCTGTTTCTTTTTTTGAGGATCAATTTTGAAAATTAAGTTTTTTCTCTGTTTAAAATCTTTTAAGTATTAGAAAAGAAATTTCTAATTTCAGACTAGCTGGGCATGGTGTTGCATGCCTATAATCTTAGCAATTTAGGAGTCTAAGGCAGGAAGACCACAAGTTGAAGGCCAGCCTGGGCAACTTAGTGAGACCCTGTCTCAAAATAGAGTAAAAAGGGGTTAGGTATGTATCTTAGTGGTAAAGTGCTTGCCTACCAGGTTCAAGGCCCTGGGTTCCATCCTGGTACTCCCCGCCCTGCCCCCCCCCCAAAAAAAAAAGTTAAAGAAAAATGACTTTCTTTTGGATTGAGTTAGTATTATAATTATTCATAGTTTACAGTTTAGTAAACAGTATAAACATTTTAAGCCTTGCATGTACTAAGAAAGCACTGAGCTATGTCCCCAGTCCTTTTTAGATTTTATTTTGAGACAGGGTCTCACTAAGTTGCCCAGGCTGGCCTTGAACTTGTAACTCTTCTGCCTCAGCCTTATAGGCATATACCCCGTTTGCCCAGCTGTAACATGTTCTTAATTATGAAACATAAAAAATATTTTTAAATGTTTTCTTATTGTTGGAATGAGACAGGATTTAGCATTCATTAATCATTACCTTATTTTTTATTATTAAGGATGTAAGCCATGATTAACATACATAAATAAGTCACAGGAAACTAAGGAGTTTTGATGTAGAAATGTGATTTAATTCTTTGAATTCTCTTCAAGGTATATGTTAAAAAATCTGACAATTATTATTTTTCTTTTTTTAAATTCTGATTTGTTATACATAATGGCAGAACACAATTTATTTCATATTACACATATAGAGTACAATTTTTCAAGACACTGATTGTACACAAAGTATTTTCATACCATTCGTGTCTTATACATGTACTTAGGGTAGTGATGTCTAACTCATTCCATTACCATTCCTATCCTCTTATCCCCTCCTTTGTCCTTCCTCTCCTTTGCCCCATCTAAAGTTCCTCCATTCCTCTCATGCTCCTCCTCCAATCGACATTATGAGTTAGCATCCTCATATCAAAGAAAACATTTGGCCTTTTATTTTTTGGGATTGGCTTCACTTAGCATTATATTCTCCAACTTCATCTGTTTACCTGCAGATGCCATGATTTTATTTTATTTTAATGCTGAGTAATGTTCCAGATAATTTATTTTTAATAATCTATTGAACAATAATTCAGTCTTCAATCTTTGTTTTTTTTTAGTTCTCAATACTATATTCATTAATCTAATAAAAGAACATTAAAACTCATTTTTCTTGGGCTTTTAAACATTGATTACAAATTTAATTAATTCTCTCGAGCAATTTAGATTTTAGTCTCTCTCTCTCTCTCTCTCTCTCTCTCTCTCTCTCTCTCTCTCTCTCTCTCTCGTACAAGGGATTGAACCCAGGGGCACTTAACCCCTGAGCCACATCCCCAGCCCTTTTTCATATTTTATTTAGAGACAGGGTCTTGTCTAGTTGCTAAGGGCCTCACTAAGTTGCTGAAGCTGGCTTTGAACTTGCCTCCTCCTGACTCAGCCTCCCAAACTGCTGGGATTATAAGCATGCACCACTGTACCCTGCTTGCAATTGATTTTTTTTTTTTGTAAATATGGAAAGCTTCATGAATTAGCGTGTCATCCTTGTGCATGGGCCATGCTAATTTTCTCTGTACCAATTTTAGTATATGTGCTGCTGAAGCAAGCACTTGTAATTGATTCTTGATCAAGACCTGTTGTCTGGTTATATAATTCTAGATAATTGAATCTTGAGCCCTTGATGATTAGCTTGAGTCCATTTTTTGGGGGGGCGGGTACTGGAGATTGAATTCAGAGGCACTTGACCACCGAGGCACATCCCCAACCCTATTTTGTATTTTATTTAGAGACAGGGTTGTGTTGTTTAATGCCCCACCATTGCTGAGGCTGGCTTTGACCTTATAATCCTCCTGCTTCAGCCTCCCAAACCGCTGGGATTACAGGTATGTGCACCACGCCAGGCACTTGAGTCCATTTTTATAATAAGGTTTTACTTGTTATTTCATGGGATTTCTAGGTTTCTGTCTTTTCAAACATTTCAGCTTGGCTTATCTTTCTCCCTAACCAACTTTTATTTTTTTTTGGATTGAACCTACATGTGCAACAACCCCATCCCATTTTGAGATAGGATCTTGCTAAATGACTGAGGCTGGCCTCAAACTTGCAATCTTCCTGCCTCAGCCTCCCAAGTTCCTGGGATTATAGACCTGCACCACTGAGTGTGGCTCTTGATTGGCATTTTGTTGTTGTTGTTGTTGGTACTGGGTATTTAACCCACGGGCTCACTGTTGAGCCACATCCCCAGCCTTTTGTATTGTTTTGTTTTAGAGAAGGTCTCGTTAAGTTGCTTAGAGCTGGTCTTGAGCTTGCAAATCTCCTGTTTCAGCCTCCCATGTCATTGGGATTAGAGGTATATGCCACCATGCCTGAATTTTTCTGTTTTTGAACAGTTTGTTTTAGGGCTTTTTGATAGTTTTTCTGTATAGTATTGAAGCTGCTGGTGTGGATACTAGGAATATTTCCTATTAAATTATTGCTCATTTGAAATGATGTTTTGTCACAGAGTGATTTGCCCCGGGTCAAAACAGAGATTGATGCCTTGAAGAATTTGAGACATCAGCATATATGTCAACTCTATCATGTGTTGGAAACAGCCAACAAAATATTCATAGTTCTTGAGGTTAGTAGTATGTTCCAGAGACCTAAAACTTTTGGTCACTTTATCAATAGTTGAGAGAAATTATGTTTCACCTAAAAGATTAAAATAAATGTTAAGTGGTTTGCCTGTTTTGAGTTCTGTCTCTAGGAATTTAGATTAAAGTAGACATATATAACAAATTTATGGTATATGTACTCTCTCTAATATACCCCTAATGAGGTGGTTTAGATTATTGGATAAAATAAGCTAGAATTTGGTCCCAAAGGGAAGGATCCATTTCAGTTCTATATGGTATATTGATTTCCTATCAATATATCTACAAACCTGGTGGCCTAAGATAGTAAAAATTTGTCTTAGGGTTCTGGAGGATTGAGTTCCTCCCAAATCAAGACATGGGCAAGATTGTTTTTTTCTGGAGGTTCTTTCCTGATTCCTGGTGTTTCCTGGCAATTGTTGGTGTTCTGTGGCTTATGGATACACCAAACCACTCTATTCTGCCTTCATTTCCAAATGGTCTTTTCTCTTTTGTGTGTCAGTGTGTCTCCAAATTTCCCTCTCATAGGAACCCAAGTCATTGGATTAAGGCCCACTCTAATTTAGTATGACTTCCTCTTAATTGGGTTATTTTTACAAATAACTTTACAAATGAGGTCGCATTCATAGGTCCCACATTAGGGCTTGAGCATATCTTTTTTTGGGGGGGGCAGTTTAATTCACAGCATATAGAGTTTCCAGTCTATGTGTTATGGAAACTAAACTCTTTCAAGTTTTAAACTGCCCTTTATGGCATTAAACATAGTTTTGAGAACTCGTGTCATTCATCTCTTAGTTTTAGCCAAAGAATGTGTAGCTACACACTGTTTTTACAGATTAACGCTGTTTCAAATACATTTTAAAATTTGTGTTGAAAGTTTTGGACCTAGAACTATTTTTACTTTACTATAGATCTACCCATATGGTCTGCTATAGTGAATTTAAAATCTTTTTCTTTGGAGGCAGGGTCTTCCTATGTTGCCCAGGCTGTACTCGACTTGAACTCCTATATTCAAATAATCCTTTCTCAATCTCCTGAGTAGCTGGGATTGCAGTGCATGCCACCATACCTGGCTGAAATTCCTAAAAAAAAAAAAATGAAAACTCAAAATATTCATGAACCTTGGACAAAATTTAAAAGGTACAAGAGAATATATGTTAAAAATAAAATCCTCTCTACCCTGTATTCCATTTATCTAATTCCTTTTCCTCTCTGTCATTCACTATTTTTCTTGTTTCTTATGGATACCTAGAAATATTTTACATATGTATGTATATGTTTGTGTGTGTCTATGTATGTATAGCCTATGATCATAAACTATAGTACTTTGTACCTTGTGTTTTTCCCCACTTAACATTTTATTTATTTATTTTTTATAGTACTGAGAACTGAACCCAGGACCTTGCTAGACAGGCACTCTACCACTGAGCTACATCCTCTGTTCTTTATGAAAATTTTATTTTGAGAGGTCTTGTTAAGACTGACCTTGAACGTGCTGTGTTCCTTCTGCCTCAACTTCATGAGTAACTGGGATTATAGATGTGGCCACCAGGCTGGGCCCACTTAGCATTTTAGCTTACCAATTATCTATGTACATTCATGGAGATTTTAAATGTTTTTTCTCTTTGTTGTTATTTTTGTATTTTTTAAAAAAATTTAAAAATTTGGATGCTTTTTCTCATTATTTTTATATGGAAAAATATGAAATAGTTTGTTTTCTTCATATAAATCTTATTGGATAGAGTTTTAAAAAATTACTATTGAGGCATAATTTACATACTGTAAATGCACAATTAAGTATACTGTATATACTTATGTACTTATCACCTGACTCAAGTTATAAAACATCTCCATCATCCTAGAAAGTTTTCTCCAACCTTTTCAAAGTAAATTTTTATAGCAGTACCTGCTCTGCCTTTCCCAGTAACCACTGATCTAATTTCTTTCACCATAGATTATTTTTACCTCTTCTAGAACTTAATGTGAATGAATCATATAGTCTGTACTCTTGTGTGTTGTTTATTTTGCTCAGCATAATGCTTTTGCAAGCCACCATATCAATATGTTATACTCTTTTGCACTTTGCTTTTTTAAAAATACCTGATATTGTCCCATATTAGTTTGTAAAGAGCTCTCTCTCCTTTTTAAAATTGTTGCTGTGAATTTCATTTCTTCTTTTTAAATTATTGCCACGAATTTCATTTTATAACTGTGACATAATTTATATAGTGTGAGCATTTGGTTGTTGCTATGGTATGAATGTCAGTGTCCCCACCAAACTCTATACTGGAACGTAATCTCCAGTGTGATTGTATTAAGAGGTAGGGCCATAAGGAGGAGGGGTGAGAACTTAATTAGTTCTCCTATAAAAGAAACTTCAGGCAACCTGCTTATTCCCTTCTGCCATGTGAGGACACATAGCTAGTGCCTTCTATGAGTAACAAGTCTTCACCATACATAAAATCATCTGGCACTTTGGTCTTTGACTTCCTAGCCTCCCGAACTGTAAACAACAAATTTCTGTTCTTTATAAGTTATCCAGTGTAAGGTATAATACCATGAATGGGCTAAGACAGTTTGTTTCCAGTGTTCTGCTTTTATAAACAGTGTTGTTTCAGTGAATGATGTTTAATATGCATCATTGTCAATTTAAGTATATCTGTAGGAACAATTCTTTGAGGAACTGTGAGGTCAAAGGCTATATGCATTTATAATTTTAATTGACATTTCCAAAATGAATTTTTTTCCCAAAATGAAATAAAATTTTAATTGGAAACCGAGTTTACAAAAAGTATTGCTGCTCTAGAGAAAGGATGGAAAGCCTAGAGCTTTGAGCTCTGGAACTTCTTCTCCTGCAAACACTGAGGTTCCTCTGTGCAACCTGAGTCTTTCTAATGCAGATGGAAAATCACTAGTCTTTGGACAGCAACCAACAATAATTACTGGAGAAATAATTATTGCTGCTTTAAAAAAATTCTTAGATAACTATTGGGCATGGTGGTGCATACCTGTTATTCCAGTGACTTAGGAAGCTGAGGCAGGAGGATTTTAAGTTCACAGCTAGCATTAGCAACTTTGTGAATCCCTATGCAACTTGGAGAGGCCATGTCTCAAAATAAAAAATAAGAAGGGCTGTGGATGTGGCTCAGTGGTAAAGTGCTCCTGAGTTCAATCCCCAGTACCAAAAAGAAAGAAAGAAAGAAAGAAAAGTAGGTAACTGTAGTAAATGTAAGCATATTAAGATGAGAATGGGTTGTAATTCTTTGCTATAAAAATATAAAACCCTGAGTGAACCTTTTAAAACCACAGTGTAGTTAGTTCTACTTTTGTTTACTGTTAATAAAACTGTTCAAGAAAAGAGTTATTATTCTCATTCCTGGAATAATTATTGACTTGTTTGATCCTTAGAGTGTATTTTTGAATATGCTCACTCATCTCCCATCTGACTTCAGTGTAATTTTTTTTTATATTCCTCTGAAGTTATTTCTGTAAGCTATAACAATATCTATTTGATTCTCTTGCTGTTGAAGTACTGCCCAGGAGGAGAGCTGTTTGACTACATAATTTCCCAGGATCGCCTGTCAGAGGAGGAGACCAGAGTGGTTTTCCGTCAGATAGTGTCTGCAGTTGCTTATGTGCACAGCCAGGGTTATGCTCACAGGGACCTCAAACCAGTAAGTGACTGTGACATACTTTCATACTCATCTGAGAGTTCAGCATTATCTAACTGGTGTTTTTGGGCTTCTAGATGTTCTGTTTAAGAATCTATCTTAGGGGCTGGAGATGTGGCTCAGTGGTAGCGCGCTCGCCTGGCATGCGTGCGGCCCGGGTTCGATCCTCAGCACCACATACCAACAAAGATGTTGTGTCCGCCGAGAACTAAAAAATAAATATTAAAAATTCTCTCTCTCTCTCTCTCTCTCCCCCCCCTCCCCCCTCTCTCACTCTCTCTTTAAAAAAAAAAAAAAAAGAATCTATCTTAGCTTTGCTTCTTTTTCTTTATTATTATTATTTTTTAATATTTATTTTTTAGTTGTAGTTGTACCCAATACCTTTGTTTTATTTATTTATTTCTATGTGGTGTTGAGGATCAAACCCAGGGCCTCGCATGCACTAGGCGAGTGCTCTGCCGCTGAGCCACAGTCCTAGCCCTACTTCATTTTCTTTTGTTCCAGTCAGAATCTATCCCATTTCTTTTGTTCCTCCTTTTGAATTATGGTAGACTTTTTGGATAGATAGCATTTTTTCTATCTGTCATTTATATATTATTGTAAAAGTCCTTGTAATCAGTATTTTATTTCTAAGAAAAAAGAGTCATAGAGGGTTTCCATTTTGCTGTTTTTCTAACACTGTGCTCCTTTAATTTAAATCCACTCCTTAGGAGTTCAATGGAATCAACAGACTCCTTTTTTTTTTTTTTTTTGGAGTGTACTGGGGATTGAACTTGGGGCTCAGCTATATCCCTAGCCTTTTTTTAAGTAATTTATTTTTTTTTTAATTTTAAGACTGGGTCTGGCTAAGTTGTGGAGGCTTGCCTCAAACTTGGGATCCCCTTGCTTAAACCTTCTACAGACTTGACTTTTTAAGGACTGCTGAATAAAAATGTGAATATTCTTTTTAAGTCTGCAGGCTAGTGGGTGATAGTAAATATGGATTTAGAGGTTCAGGGACTTAGAATTGGTCTGAGAAGATATGGCAGTTTTGTTATCCTTTTTTATCTTTTTATACCCAACTTTTCAATTTGAAATTACTCGTTAGGTTTAAACTTTCCTTTGGCACAAATTGTGTTTGCTTTTAGTTGGCCCTCAGAGGACCAGTGAGAAATGGTTTATGCTGGTGTGTCCTGTGGCGAAGTGGTATACTTATCAACATTCCTTATTTTTCTCCTTTTATATGTCTTATTATTTCACTACTTTCCAGTGATTTTTCATCTTATTGTACCCAGGATTTTCAATATTAATAATCTTAAATCATTTTAAGAAATGGCTAGAGGTGGGATGTAATATAAGGAAATAAGAATATAATTATTGCTGAGCATGGTGGCGCACGCCTGTAATCCTAGATGCTTGGGAAGCTGAAGCAGGAGGATCGTGAGTTCAAAGCCAGCCTCAGTAGTGGCGAGGTGCTTAGCAATTCAATGAGACCCTGTCTCTAAATAAAATACAAAATAGGGCTCGGGATGTGACTCAGTGGCCGAGTGCCCCTGAGTTCGATCTTGGCTACAAAAAAAAAAAAAAAAAAAGAATATAGTTATCAAAGTATCTTTGTTTTCCCAGGAAAATTTATTGTTTGATGAAAATCATAAATTAAAGCTGATTGACTTTGGTCTCTGTGCAAAACCCAAGGTAAGTGCAGAAATAAAAATGCATTTATTTCCTTGTAAATACACCCCTTAATGTGTTATTGTGCTCTGACTTCCACTTGGTCTTTATTGAGCTTAATTGCCTCTATTGTGAAGAATGTTAAATTTGCCGTGGTGGCGCATGCTTGTAATCTCAGCAGCTCAGGAGGCTGATACAGGAGCATTGCAAGCTCAAAGCCAGCCTTAGCAATTTAGTGAGGTACTAAGCAACTCAATGAGACCCTTTCTCTAAATAAAATACAAAATGGGGCTGGGGTTATGACTCAGCGATAGAGCACTTGCCTTGCAAGTGCAAGGCCCTTGGTTCCATCCTCAGCACCACATAAAAATAAATAAATAAATAAATAAATAAATAAAGTCATTAAAAAATTAAATAAAATACAAAATAGGACTGGGGGTGTGGCTCAGTGGTTGAGTGTCCTGGGGGTTCAATTCCCGGTACCAAAAAAAACCAAAAAGAATGTTAAATTTAATTCCAGGCATCAGTAATTTGTATAAATCCTTTAGATGATTCTAAAATAGGTAGCCAGGATTGACAGCCACTGGTCTAGGTCTAGTGTTGGTCCTGTTGAAGACCGCATGGGTAAGCTGTGAGAGAATTTGTAGCACCAAGGCCACATGAAGTCATTAGCATGAATGCTAAATAGATCATGTGCTTACAGTTTGAGTGTATTGCCACTAGATGATGCCTTTGTTCATAGGGCTAGGAGTTGAGAATTTGTTATAAACCTATTTGTTATTCAAATGGTTATGTAACTAAGAATTAGTTATATTTTGTGAAAATCCCCTTTCCTTAGGAAAGAAGAAGGAAAATGTCCAGATGAACTTCTATATTTATATCATTAGGTATTTCTCTAATTTGCATTCCATAGTTAAGCACTGGTATTCTTCAGCATAACTTCTCTTTGAGGTGACTTTGAACTTCCCAGGTTTGCTTTCTGCAGCAGATCTCCTGTGTGGCTGCCTGTTGGAGGTTTCTTCTTGAGTTCTCTAATGATGGTAGTTACAGTCTCTAAAATGAGCTGTCTACACTCATTAAGAATGTCAAAATTGCAGACTTGTCTTAGCCCTTTGTAGTCCCATGATTATTTCCTGTCCCAGTCAGAATTAGCTAGGTGCAAAGGGAAGCAGATTTTGCCCCTTCAGTAGAATGTTTGATTCTTTCTGATCCTCTTCTCTCCCTTGGCTCTTCAGTGACTATCAGTGGAACCTTGTGTTTGGGAAGCAAATGCTAGAAGGTATTATTTTTTTCTAGACATATAAAGATTATACTTTGAACAGATAAGCTTGTTTGAGTCATGATGTCCACAGCAGGCAGTGGGAAATGTTTGTGACAGACTTCATTACCCTTTTTTTTATGGCTGCCACAGATTTGACCACATAGAGCCATCTAAGAAAGCGGGGGTGGCCTGGGAGAGAATCGCCTCCATCTTCTGTGAAGAACTCATTTCTGGGCATATTTCATTTATAAATGAGATCTCAGTTTCACAAGTCCTTTGCCAGCTGTAAGACTATAGGAGTCGGGCAGTAACTTCATTTTCATTGTCTTGATATTTCTGTGGGGGAGAGGAGCATGAGCGAATTTCTCAACAGATCTGGGAAGCTAAGTTGGTGATTCTCTTATAACTGAATCTAGAAATAGGTTGTCAAGGCCCTGTGCTACATACAGTTTTGCTTTCTTTCCTCTAAGGAGAAAGAAGCTCTCTGAATTTGTAAGGATTTAATATTGGAGATAGGGGCTGGTAAAGACATGATCATTTCTTCTTGAGTATTTAAGGGTGGGAAGACACAGGGGCTCAGATGTATGCTAGGCTGATTATTGTGCACATGAATATCTAGGGAAGTATGAACCTGACTTGACTGAGTGAAGGAGAAAAATATTTCATTTGTGTCAGGTGGTAGTGGTATAGGAAATCCAGAGAAGCAGAGAACACATGTGCATATAGACATATATGCAAAGAATATCAGATTGGCTATAGAAGTCTTTTCCTTATTTGGGAAAATTCTTCATTTAACTTCTTTTTGTGTTCAAAGAGTGTTTATCAAGGTTCAGTACTCTCTTTCTACTTTTTTTTGGCATTGGGACTGCACCCAGGGGCACTTAACCACTGAGCCACATTCCCAGCCTTTTAATTTTTCATTTTGAGACAGGGTCTCACTAAACTTGACAAGTTGCTGAGGCTGGCTTTGAATTTGTGATCCTGTCTCAGCCTCCCAAATTGCTGGGATTATAGGCATGTGTCACTGTGCCCAGCAAGATTTAATACTGTTTAGGGCTGTAATTAGTAAGTGTTTTATTTTTTTTTTTAATATTTTTTCTAGTTGYAGATGAACACAATACCTTTATTTTATTTATTTGTTTTTATGTGGTGCTGAGGATGGAACCCAGTACTTCTAGGTGAGTGCTCTGCCACTGAGCCATAATCCCAGCCCTAAGTGTTTCATTTTTATCTTATTGACAGGGTAACAAGGATTACCATCTACAGACATGTTGTGGGAGCCTTGCTTATGCAGCACCTGAGTTAATACAAGGCAAATCATATCTTGGATCTGAGGTAATTATTCATTGATTAAATCAGTGTAATCAACATATTTATTGGTGATTTATAGTTGAGTGACTCAAGCACTGTGTATTGGGGATATAACAATGAAGTAAGTAATCTTGTTAATCAAAGAGTTTAGTCTGTTTGGGAGTGATATTTATAAACTAGTAGATGGAATGAATAATTTGTGATAAACATAATAACCTGTAATATTCTTTTGAAGGAGGGATATATTTCTGGTGTCCTTATTGTGGTTACTTTTGTATTGAACAATGCCATAGTTTGGACTGATTGGTCCAACTGGGTAGAGTACAAGGTCAGGATTGCAGCCTTAGTTTTCAGAGATGCCAATTAGCAGAGAGAAAACCTGTCTTTTGTCCATAGTTGACTTTCCAAGGCCAGCAGTCCAGGCTTCGATAGCTTTACAATTGCTACTTCAAGCTAGTTAGTTTTTCCTGTTTTCTGCAGTACTAGTGTTGCTGATGTTAGTATCATAAAGTTAAAAAAAAAAAAATTAAGTCATCAAAAGCTCAGAAAGTGCTGGGTGGAACAGTCTTCTTTTTTTTTTTTTTTAATTAAATTTCTTTCTTTTTTTTTAGTTGTTGATGAGACATTTATTTATTTATTTATTTATTTATTTATTTATTTATATGTGGTTCTGTGAATTGAACCCAGTGCTTCATACATGGCTAGGCAAGCACTCTACCACTGAGCTACAACCTAGTTCCTGGAACAGTCTTCTTATTTCAGGATTTCAGGACATCTCCAGATCTTTAATATGCTCTTGTGCAATGTGATCCTTTGGGAGGGAAATGTCACAGGTAGCAGCTTGTCCTGATTTTATTTGCTTATAGAATTCACTTTTCATGTGGACTTAATTCACTTTTCATGTGGACTATCTTTTGGAACTACTTTTTCTGCTTTCTTCTCTCATGTAGGCTTTGATACATCTATGAAAATCTTTTCTATTATTTTCTTCATCTTTTAGTTTAACCCCAGACATAAAGAAACTTTTGGGGGCCGGGGATGTGGCTCAGGCTGTAGCGCGCTTGCCTGGCATGCATGCGGCCCGGGTTCGATCCTCAGCACCACATACCAACAAAGATGTTGTGTCCGCCGAGAACTAGAAAATTAATATTAAAAATTCTCTCTCTCTCTCTCCTCTCTCACTCTCTCTTTAAAAAAAAAAAAAAAAACGAAACTTTTGGGAAATACCAAGTTCTTCTTATTATTTTTTTCTTTTTGTGGTGCTGGGGATTGAACCCAGGGCCTTGCACATGTTAGGCAAGCACTCTACCAACTTAGCTATATCCCCAGCAATACCAGGTTATTTAGTTTGTAACATGAGAAGATGGGAACTAACTTGGTTTTGGCAACTTGATTTTGATATAATCTCAAAGGTATAGTATACGATAAAAATAGCATGAGGAACTTTGATATATTTTTATTCAAATTTACAATTGTTTAATTTTCCCTATTTGCTTTATTTTGTCTTTGTGTATACATATGTATATGCACATATTATTAATTTTCTCAATCATTTGAGAATAAACTGGAAGACAGGTGTGGTGCACACCTATAGTCCCAGAGATTTAGGAAGCTGAGGCAGGTGTATCACAAATTTGAGACCAACAAAAAAAGGCTGAAGATGTAGCTCAGTGGTAGAATGCCCTTCAGTTTAATCTCCAGTACTGTTTTTTTTTTAAAGTTGTAGAGAGACACAATACTTTTTTTTAAAAATCTTTAAAAAAAATACCTTTATTTATTTATTTATTTATTTATTTTTATGTGGTGTTGAGGATCAAACCCAGTGCCTCACACGTGCCAGGCAAGTGCTCTTCCACTGAGCCACAAACCCAGCCCCAAATCTCCAGTACTCTTAAAAAAAAAAAAAAAAAAGTAAACTGGAGACATGTCCTCTTTTCACTAATTATGCATATCTTTCCCCAAAGCAAGGCTCTTTTCTTTTTCTTTTTTTTTATTAGTTGTTCAAAATATTACAAAGCTCTTGACATATCATATTTCATACATTTGATTCAAGTGGGTTATGAACTCCCATTTTTATACAGATTTATACAGATTGCAGAATCACATCGGTTACACATCCACGATTATACATACTGCCATACTAGTGTCTGTTGTATTTTGCTGCCTTTCCTATCCCCTACTATCCCGCCTCCCCTCCCCTCCCCTCCCCTCCAATCTTCTCTCTCAAGGCTCTTTTCTTTTGTAACTGTAATTATAAAAACAAGGGAATTTCATGTGGATGTAATTTATTCAGTTACAGTCTATGTTCAGATGGTGTTTCTTATGTCAATGATGTCCTTTTTAGCTTTATCCCTGCCTCTGCTCCCCATCCAGGATCACACATGGCGTTTAGTTACTGTATCTCTTTAGCATTCTTTAGTTTGCAACACTTCCTTAGGCTTTCCTTGAGCTGGTAACTGTGGTCAAGATTTGAACTGAGTGAAGGACTTTTCCATATTTGTCTAGTCTCCCAGAAGGAGTGATACTCATAAGCCTAATCTTACAAGATTCCTAGAAGGCTGGTGATAAGGCCTTGCTAGTCTGAATGTGTCTGAGTTTTTCCTACATAATTTTGTTTTTTTTTGTCCATGTTAGTTGACTTTCCATCCTTCTAAGACAGTGCCTTTAGAACAGTGTACTAAGGAATCATCTGGGGTACTTGTTAAAACATGCAGAGCTCAGAGCTGTACACTTGGAAATTTTGGGTTGTTTTTGAAGTTGGGGATTTAAGAATCTTCATTTTAAAATAAGCAGTTTTTTAGGTGTTTCTCATGCTTATGGTCCAGATCATGCTTTTAAGGACATGTTCCAGGGTAATATCTCAAAATTCCTTTAGTAATATCTCACAGGAAATGGTTTTAAGTCCCTCTTCTAGTTATTTTTGTGTTTTTTGGTAATTGATAACTTATAAAGGACTGGATTTGCTTTGGCTTATGATTTTAGTAGATTAATTTATTCTTACATCTAATTTGAAACTGATGGTGCTTTGAATACTTTTTCTGCTTTCTTCTCTCATGTAGGCTTTGATACATCTATGAAAATCTTTTCTATTATTTTCTTCATCTTTTAGTTTAACCCTAGACATAATGTCTCTGTTGACTTCTTACGGTACTTGACAAGGTCATGTTAGCTCACTCTTTCCTGTGTTGCCTCTTTGCTTTGAATGAGTGCCATGCCATCATGCCTCAATTTATAGATTAAATATTTGACAACTCTCTGGCATAAATTGTTAATTTCTGACCTCCTACAACTTGGAACCAAAATCACATGTCAGCTTAAAAGCACATTGTTCACTTGTGGCATCATAATAGAGTCCTAGTAATTTATGTGATTCAGTGAACAGGACAGAATAACCTGGGTTATTCTGGTATAGGTATTATCCAGATGTGTGATGCTGCCTGTTATTTAACTTTATTTCCCTTTTCTTTGTTTTTATTTTATATTTTATTTTTTAATATTTAATATTTAGGTGGACACAATATCTCCATTTTATTTTTATGTGGTGCTGAGAATTGAACCCAGTGCCTCATGTATGCTAGGTGAGCGCGCTACCACTTGAGCCACATCCCAGGCCTCCCTTTTCTTTATATATATATTTTTTGTGATATTGGGGATTGAACCCAGGGTCACTCTACCACTGAGCTACATCTCCAGCACTTTTTATTTATTTTACTTTTTATTTTTGGACAAGGTCTTGCTAAGTTGTCAAGGCTRGCCTCAAACTTACAATTCTTCTACTTCAGCCTCTTAAATCACTGGGTCCCCCTTTTTTTACTTCTTTAAAAAAATGCTAGGGTTGTAGCTCAGTGGCAGAGTGCTTGCTTAGCATGTGTGAGGCACTGGGTTAGATCCTTAGCACTGCATTTAAAAAAAATAATAAAATAAAGGCATGTTGTCCATCTACAAGTACAAAAAAAATGCCATCCTTCTTATCTCTTAAAATTTTTCTAAGGATCAAATGAGAGTGGGAACTATTACTGGTTGTGTAATACAACTTTTACTGGTTGTGTCAACACTGATCAAGTCAAATCCTGCTTGAAAATAACAGTTACTGATTAGGGCTCATGGACACATGGATATCTCACATAAAGGTTAAACTCCATCCTTCAAAGACAATGTCATTAAGACATTGGAGATTTATAGGGCTATTTGTGCTGGCAGGCTAGTTTCTAGCCCCTATATTTGAAAAAGTCAATCATTGAAGTTTTAAAAAAATAATTTATTCCAATTAGTTATACATGACAGCAGAATGCATTTTGATTCATAATACATAAATGGAACACACTTTTTCACTTCTGGCTATACATGAAGTAGAGTCACACCATTCGTGCAATCCTACATATACCTAGGGTAATGATGTCCATCTCATTCTACCATCTTTCCTACCCCCATACCACCTCCCCTTTGCCCTTTCCAAAGTTCCTCCATTCATCCCATGGGCCCCCCTTAATCCCCCATTATGGATCAGCATTCACTTATCAGAGGAAACATTTGGCCTTTGGTGTTTTGGGATTGGCTTACTTCACTTAGCATGATATTAAAATTTCTCTAAATAGAGTTTTTACTGTGTAACTTAGTCACATTTGTAGATTGCCATGAAATTTTCAGACTTATTTTGACATCCCCACGCCTGTTTACATAATCCTCATATGTAACTGAGATCCTTAGTAGCTCTGTAGAATTGCTTTCAGAATCTGAGACCTGGCCTTATTCTTTATCATGCCCAATCCATCCAAGCAAAATAATTTTTTTTTTCCTATTAAGTGTTAGCATATAGCTAAGAGGAAAGTTCCTGGGTGGTCTGCCACTGATTGGGTGACTTTGGACACACCTGCTTTTCTAGACTTCAGGGTTCCAGACTAGAATGAGCAGGTTGAATTGAATGCTCTCTTAGCTCTATTTCAGCTTTTTAAAGATTCTGTGGTTTTATTAAGTATCTTATCATTCTGAAATGTGTTCTATATATTTTTTTTGAATGATTTTTTTTTTCTTCCTCTTAGGCAGATGTTTGGAGCATGGGCATACTTTTGTATGTACTTATGTGTGGATTTCTACCATTTGATGATGATAATGTCATGGCTTTGTACAAGAAGATTATGGTGAGTATTGCAAGGCATAGAATTTCTTTTTTTTTTTTTAATAAGTTTATTTATTTATTTATTTATTTATTTATTTATATGTGGTGCTGAGCATCGAACCCAATGTCTTACTCATGCTAGGCACTTGTGCTCTACCACTGAGCCACAACCCTAGCCCCAAGGCATAGAATTTCAGTGTAAAAGTTTTTTTACTTATTATACTTTATGCTTTTGGAATGAAGAAAAAATTCTGGAATTAGGTAGTGATGATAATTTTGTGTTTAAGCCTTTTTGTGTGTGTGTTGCTGGGGATTGAACCTAGGGCTTTGTGCAGGCTAAACACATGCTCTATCACTGAGCTACAATCCCAGCACCCAAAACTTTATGAATATATTAATATCTAGTAAATCATTTACTTTAAAAGAATAAGCTAGGTGTGGAGGCATATATCTGTAATCCCAGTTACTTTGGGAGGCTGAGGTAGGAGGATTGCAAGTTTGAGGCCATCTTGTAGCATGTTTGGGGCCCTGGGTTCAATCCCCAGAAACCCCGCCCCCCTCAAGTAGAAGTGCTTCAGAAAAGGATGTGGGTGAATTCATTCTGGCAGAGTAGACACTATGAGCAAAGGCATAGGGATGGGAGAAGTATGGGAAGGAATGGTCAGAGATTATTGTGGCTGGACATTGAATCTATACCAGCTTTAGGTTAGAAGATTTCTGAATTAACTCTCTTTTCTGGAATGTAGTATAGAGTTGAAAGTGGCAGTTGCAGTTGGCTTGTTGCTTAACCCCTAGAAAGAACATCAAGTCTAAGGGCACTGGGTTGTTTAATTTTTCTTTGTTTAACTTAATTTTTTCCTATGATCTGTCTTGGAAAAAGTCTTTAAAATTGATGATTAAACTATAGAGAGGAATTTGGGAAGAGGTGGAATCACAGTTGTTCAACTCCTTAAAGGCTGACGAGCTCTAATTCTGCTGGGTCAACAAAAAGTAATGATAGCAATAGTGGTTACCACCCCTGTCTTGGGGGCTGTATATGCATTTTTCTCCTTGGTAAGGTGAGATCCATGGGCTTGGGCTGGAAGCCAGTCTCCTGGAGTGTGCTGATGTAGCCAAGACAGCTTGCGTTTTTCTCTCACTTGAGATTCCTCCAATCCTTGGAAGGTAGCAGTTTTTGCTTTGGTTCCTGCTTGCTGACTATAGCTTTATGGGGAGCATTTGGGGAGCTGGTGGAGGGTTTGAGTAGAGAAGTGCTATGATTTGGTTTAGTTTTTAATAGGATTGCACTGGTTGCTGTGTGGATAGACTGTAGGAAGCAAAGAAGAAAATCAGGGTTACTGGGGAAGCAAAGAGGAGAATCAAGATGACTGTTTGGGAGGATATTATAGTGATTCACAGAGATGTTAGTAATGGAGATGGCAAGAAATGGATGGATTCTGGATGTCTCTTTTTAAAAAAAATTTTTCTGTTAGCATAAAGTAAAATTGGCCTTTTTTTTGAGGTATTGAGTCTATGAATTTTATGGATTTATGTAACCCCCCATCATAGTCAGAATGTAGAACTGATGTCTTTTGTCTTTTGAAGGTATAACTAACATAATTTGCTGATGTATTGAATGAGTGGAGTAGCCTGAGTGACTAAAAAGTTTGGAGCTGCTATTAACTGAGATGGGGAAGACTTGGTAGAGAGAGGGGATGACCATAATTCAGTTTGGACATAAAGAATGTTTCTGTTTTGTCCAGCTTTTCATATTTGTTGGCATAAGGTTATTTATCCAGCTATAGAACCCATAACCTGGAGGTAACAATGTTAACATATTTATCAGATTTTTATGTTTTTTTTCCAGACTTTAGTCTATACATGTATAAGGAATCTTATATTTTATCCTTCCCTCCCTCCCTTCTTCCTTTTTTTTTTTGTGATACTAAAGATTGAACCCAGGGTCTCAGCTTACTAGGCAAGTACCCTTCCACTGAGCTACACCCATAACCTTTGTATTTTCTTGTTGGGTTACCTGCTTCCCAGTTTATTTTTGCACAGATGGCAGCATACCCTAAACATATTGTTTTGCCTCTTGTTTTTCTCTCTTAACAGTGTATTGGAAATCATACCACTTCATATCTAGCGCAGAGCCTCTTCATTGCTTTTGGGTGGGGGGGCAGTATTAGAAACTGGACTCAGGGGTATTATGCTTGCTGGTTAAGCACTCTACCACTGAGCTACATCCCTATCCCTATTTACTTTATTTAGACAGGGCTGCCTAAGGGCTGGCTTCAAACTTGAAATCTTCCTGCCTTAGCCTCCTAAGTAGCTAGGATTATGGGGATGTACCACCACACCTGGTTCTTCATTCTTTTTAATGACTGCACAGAACAGTATATGTTTGTACCATAATTTATTTAACTGATCCTATGTTAATGGACATTTAAGTAATTTCCCAGTGGTCATTTTGCATATTGTGAACATATCTGTAAGAAAATTGCCAGTTCTCAGTACTGCAAAAATGATAAACCAAAAAAAGAAAGAAAGAAAAAGAAAATTGCTAGAAGAGTTGCTGAGTCAAAGGATATATGATTAGAAATTTTCATACATATTGCCATATTACTTCCATCAAAGTTTTATTGGTTCATACAGTTACCAGTAATAGCAAGACGGTACCAATTTTCCGTGCCCCCATCAATATAGTACAACACCTTTTTGCTCTTCATATTTAAGATTATTATTATTATTTTTTGCTGTGCAGGAATTTTAACTTTTGTATACGTGTGTGCAGTACTGGGGAATTGAACCTAGTGCCTTGCATGGTAGGCAAGAGCTTACCACTACATCCCCAGCCCTCAATTTTTATTTAGTCAAATTTACCAATCTTTTTATTTATTTATTTAAATTGTTTTTCTAATTTTCTTTTTTTAATTGATTTTATTTTTTAAAAATACATGACAGTGGAATGCATTATAATTATTATTACATATATAGAGCACAATTTTTCATATCTCTGTATATAAAGACCAATTCATGTCTTCATACATGTACTTTGGATATTGATATTCATCACATTCTACCATCATTGCTAACCCCCTGCCCCCCTCTCTTCCCCTCCCACCCCTCTACCCTATCTAGAGTGCATTTATTCCTCCCATGCTCCCCCTACCTACCCCACGATGAGTCAATCACCTTATATCAGAGAAAACATTCGGCATTTGTTTTTCTGAGATTGGCTAACTTCACTTAGAATTATCTTCTCCACCTTCATCCATGTGTAAAGCCGTGAGTTCGATTCCCCAGCACTTTTCCTGCAAATGCCATGATTTTATTTTCTTTTATTGCTGAGTAATATTCCATTGTGTATATATGCCATATTTTTTAAATCAGTTCATCAGCTGAAGGGCATCTAGGTTGGTTCCACAGTTTAGCTATTGTGAATTGTGCTGCTATATAGTTTACCAATCTTCTATTGTCAAGTTTGGAAAGGCTTTCTGACTTAGGTTACTTTTTAAAGTTTACATGTTTTCTTTTTCTTCTTCTTCTTCTTTTTTTTTAATGGTATTGGGGATTGAACCCAGGAGCATTCTACCTCTAAGGTTCATCCTTATCACTTCCTCTCCACCCTTTTAAAAAACATTGAGGCAAGATCTTACTAAGTCACTCAAGCTGACTTTGAACTTGCAATCTTCTTGCTTTAGCCTCCTGAGTTACTGGGATTACAGGTGTGCGCCACTGTACCCAGTTTATTTTAGTGTTTTTATGGTTTCATTTTTTTATATTTAAATATTTGTTCATCTGGAATTTGCTTTGGTGTAGTTTCTTGACTTTAAACATTTTTTAAGCTAAAAAATTAAAGAAATCCCAGTGTCTTAAGAGGCTGAGACAGGAAGATTGCAAGTTCAAGGCCAGCCTTAGCACCGTAGTAAGACCCTGTTTCAAAATAAAAAATAAAAAGGGCTGGGGATGTGGCTCAGTGGTAAAGTGCCTCGGAGTTACATCACCAGTACAAAAAAAAAAAAAGTTATAGTTTGTTTTCATATTCTAGATTCTGGTATGTATGATTTGAAGCTCCTTATTAATAATGTATGTAAAAAATCCTTATTTCAGATAGTCTTGCTAATTTCAAGTTTTGTACACAAACTGTCTTGTCTAATTAGATCTTTTTTTTAACCTCCTGCTCTGGATGATGGACTGTACTAAGAGTAAAGGTGTCAGTGCTGTGATAGTTGTTTGCTTGTGCTTGTATTCATAGTCTTATCTTTTTAAGACTTTAATCTGTGGTTTCTCTGCAGGAATCTTCTCTAACCACTTGCTATTTTGTGAGGATTTAGTTTATTTAAACCACATAGTATAATCTGTAAATCCATTTAACTATATTTATATGAAGCAAAGTACTTTACAATACAAAGAGTAGTGAAAGGTGGCACTACTGTGTTCTGTCATGTGTCACTGTTTCATTCAAGGAAGAATGTGCTGTTTCCATTTTCCTTAGGAGTATCTTACTGTAGGTTTTAGAGTGACTAGTGAGGGTTCACACCTCAGTACCTCAAATAAAAGAAAAAGAGATTTCATATATTGTCTATTTATACAAGTATGTATACATTTTTGGGGGGTTTACATAATCCACACATTTTGTGGACTCTGCCCCCCTCCTCCTTTAAAAATTGAAACATTTATTTATTTATTTGCAGTGCTGGGGAATTGAACTCAGGGCTTTACACATGCTAGGCAAGTAAGTGCTTTACCATTGAACTACATCCCCAGCCCACTTGAATGCTTTGTTTTATTTATTTATTTACTTATTTGGTATTGGGAATTGAACCCTAGGATGCTTAATCACATCCCCAGCCCTTTTCATTTTTTATTTTGAGATAGATTCTCATTAAATTGCTTAGGACCTCATTAGATTGCTGAGGCTACCCTTGAACTTGTGATCCTCCTGCCTCACCCTCCTAAGCCTCTGGAATTACAGGTGCACTCCACCATGCCTGGCTTAATGCTTTCCTTTAAAGATTGCTTTACCTGTGGTAGCATGTA